TTWRRWTTWAAAAAAAAAAAAAAGTTTAGCCGGACTCAGATTCAGTTACACTATTTATTGTTAAGAGGGAAAATGTATTAGAGAGGAAAAGATTTTACAGTAGGGACGTGAAAGCAAATTTTCGTGCTCTGCTGTGGTATGAGACTGCCAGCTTCTATGTAGCACAAAGCCCTCCCTTTCTTGGATAGCTCAGTGCTTTGCTGGCATTTTCTTCAAAATCTGTTTTCCATCAGAACCAAGAGGAGGGAAGGTGTTAAGAATAAGGGCGGTTGGAAAGGAGGTTGCTGTTCCTTTAAATAGTGCTGGGAGTCCATGTGGCAGCAGGCCGCTCTGGAGTGTATTCTTTTGTAATGAATCACCAGTTCCATTGTCTGCTATCTCCCCTCTTTGTAGCTGGAAGGCTGAAGTCTTTCACCTGAGCTGCTGCCAGTTGCCTCTCCGTTCCTGGGTGGTTGGGAGAAGAGAAGAGGGAGGAGGGTATTTTATCTTTAATTAAAGACAGATAGGAGAGCAGGTATGTTTGGCTTTGTTTCATTTTATCCTGTTCTTTCTGCATTTGTTTTTTGAAATGAGTTGGAATAGGGAATCTTGGCTATGATTTTGCAAAGTATATTCCATTTTCTCTGAATTCTGGAAGTCCTTAGATTATTTGGTCTCCATTTTGTGGCCTTGCTCTAAAATGATTCTGTTCCCTGGCCTGCCAGTCATGTTCCTTTCCACCCGAATCTCATCCCACCCTTCATCCACGGAGCTGAGCCCACTATTTGTTTTGGCACACTTTCCACTTTACATGGGATGCACAGGATTCTGGGGAAGTTAGTGGGTAGGCGGGGATTATGGGTTGCAGACTAAATTTATGTTCCTTTACAATGAACAACAACAACAAAGCTTCACTTTTTCCAATAATTTGGTTTCTTTCTGAATTCTGCTGTGTTGTCCCATATTTTGATTTATAACCATTTCCTTGCCAAGGCCAAAGCTGGCTTGAAAAGTACTGTTATTCTAAAAAGTACTTAGCTTTCCTGAAAAGATAACCCAGAATTCCATAAATGGAGCTGTAATTATACCTGAACAATTTTGATTAAATTTTTTTGTCTACCATCCCCCTTCTTTGCCCCTTCCCTCTACAATTTTTTATTTTTATCTTTCTGCCTGGTTTTGCAGTTGAGACTAGGTAAGCTTAGTGTTTGACAACCTACTATTGAAGTTTGTATTGCTACAGAAGACACCATCATGTTGAAAGGTAATGAATGGCCTTCCTCAATCCTCATAGTAACTGACATTCCTGGTTTTGTTCTTCTAGTTTTCTGTTCTTCCCTGAAAAATTCCAGATTCACAGTCTATATAGATGGCCATTTGGGAATAATTTTATCTGGCTCTTCACTTTTGGAAGTGAATGGAATGTTTCAACTTGTTATCATGTCATGCCTTATCTCAGGTTGTTTGTGGATGCCTGATTGTGATAGACTAGTTGAAAGGCACCCTAGTGTCAATAGAAGCCAGCCATATTGATGATACAGCCCCCACCCCTTCCTACCCAGGCCACTCTGGGATCTGACATTTGTTGGTATCCTGAGTACTCCCCTGTGAGTTGTGATTCCTCACTTTTCTTTGTTTCCAGCATTCCAAAATTACTATTAAATCTTTCTTGCACACTTCTTCACTGAAGGGTCGCATGTGCACTCAACCAGGCACAGTGGAACCTTCCCTGCAGAAAGGCCTTGCCTTTTGGAGGTTGTACTTCTGTACTGGGCTCCAGTGCGCCTCTTCTAGGCAGTCAGAGTGCTGCTGCACTTGGCCATTCTGAGGTATTGTTTCCATTTTCCAAACTCTTAAATGTTCCTCTGTACACTATTAGAATGATTAAATTCAGAAAACCTTGGAGTCAAATAGTTCTTTAGGAGTCATTGCCAGAGTGACTCACTTAAAATGCTAGTCTTGATTTTTGTCAGTCTTGTGCTTAAACTTCAACAATTGTTTCCCTTCAGAGTCAAAATAAAATCCTGTGTCCTTACAAGGTCTCTAAGGCCCTGCATGATCAGGAACCTGGCTGGCTGCCCAGCCTCATCTCCTGCCACCCTTTTCATGTTTCCCTCCAGT